TCACCATCACAGCAATGGATCGAGGGTCCCCTAGGCTCACCTCGACAAGAATAATCAATGTGCAGATCTCAGATGTCAATGACAACCCTCCAGTATTTGAAAAGTCTTTGTCTGAAATGCACGTCCAAGAAAATAATATTCCAGGACTGCTAATTGGCTCAATCAAGGCTGCTGATCTCGATACAGAGCAGAATGCCAAACTGACCTACTCTCTTTTACCTGGGAACATTGGTGGTGGTCCCATGGCCTCTTATGTCTCTATCAACTCTGAAACAGGTAACATATATGCCCTTCGCTCTCTAGACTATGAGAAAATTAAAGATTTTAAAGTAACAGTGAGGGCAACTGACAACGGGACACCTCCTTTGAGCTCCGATGTGGTTGTTCATGTAATTATTACAGATGAAAACGACAACACTCCCTTCTTCCTCTATCCCCTTCATAACAGTACATCCCCCTGCAATGAGCTACTTCCCAAGATGGCAGAGGCTGGCTACCTGATCACCAAAGTGGTGGCTGTGGATGGAGATTCTGGTCAAAACTCTTGGCTCTCCTATGAACTCCTGAAGGCTACAGACCCAAGCCTTTTCAGCATAGGAGCCCAGAATGGAGAGTTGAAAACCAGGAGACCACTGACTGAGAGAGACACCAACAAACAGAGGCTTGTTATTGCAGTCAGAGACAATGGTGACCCTCCTCAGACCAGCACTGCAATGCTCAATATTCTTCTGGTGGATGGCTTTTCTGATCCTTACTTGAAGGTGGTGGATGTCCGTCAGCAGGACCCTGAAGATGAGGGAACCTTGACCATGTATTTGGTCATCTGCCTGGCATCTGTCTCTTTTGTGTTTCTACTTTGCATTGTTTCCTTTGTTGGGATCAAAATGTGCAAGAAAGACCACGGAAGCAGTTTTATTGTTGCTCCTCCTCACTTTCCACCTGCCATTCCAGAGAACTGTACCGATTCTCAGAGTGGATCACTTTCCAGGAATTATCAATATGATGTTTGTTTAACCAATGGATCCCTGAGCAGTGAGTTCAGATTTCTTCGACCTCTCATTCCTGTTTTTTCTGTGGCGGATCCAAACATAGCGGTGAACCACAATAGCTCTTCTGTTTCCCAAGACCTTCCAGAGTGTTTGGATGACAGTAATGCAAGTGAGCAGGTGAGAAATTAGTATACTCATAGAGCTTGTATTTTCCTTGGTCATCAGTCATAATTTATGGTTCTTTCTTCTTATTTATCATCCTGTCAGTGACATACATCGTGGCTAGACATGTAGTTTTGCAAAATTCTACCTGTTCTTGTCAAATAGTTGTAAGAAGTTCTGTTTTATTTCAGTTCTAAAAATTTCATTTAAACTGATAGTAAATTAGTATTTCATAGACAAAAAATTACTTTATATCATTATATCATCATATTTCCTCGCTATTTGTATTACATCAAACATATGTAATTCTCTATGACGAATCCATTTTTGTGTGACCCACCCCAATCTAGTTAGTTGATACTAACCTATCCAGAATTTCTTAGATTTTAGGTGGGTGTCAAAATACAAATGTATATACAAATAATAATATCCTCCACCCACAATTATTGGGTTCCTACGCTTCTTGGGTAATATACATTTTAAAGCTCAGTTTTTATGCCTCAAATATTAAAGCCTAATTTACTTTGCTAATTTTAGCCATTTCCAAGAGTCTAATGATCTAACCAAAATAACTTAGCATTACAGTGTTTTTATAGTACATTTTGTAGACTTTCCCAAATAGCTTCTGAAGACCAAGTCTATCAAGCTTCTCGTGCCTGGAGATATAGCTAGGAGTTTTGTTCCATCTAGCCCCTTTAAATTTTGCCTCCAGCTTCTGGCTCATGTTCTTCATCACCTCTGATTCCTGCATTTCCTGCTTTCGAATTCCTGCTACATCAATTTGGCTCCACATCTTCCTCAAAATTTGGATGCTTTCATAGACATCTCTCCATCTAAGTAGGGGTTTTTGTTATTCTGGCTGTATATTTTCTTGCAGGTCTTTTGATTGGAGATGCCATAATTATTGTTTTGGCTATATGTTTATGTTCTCATTGTCATCCAGCCTTCTTTCCTCCTTAAGTAATATGTTCTTCACATTTCCCTCTATAATGATCAGCTCTCTGTATTAAAATTCCCACTTTGTATCTCACAGTGTCTTGAAATCTGACCAGCTTACTATGTAGACCCTTATTCAAAATTCTAAGCTATTAGTTCAATTCCTGTTTCCCTTCTTCTTCTTCTTCTTCTTCTTCTTCTTCTTCTTCTTCTTCTTCTTCTTCTTCTTCTCCCATTTCTTCTCCTTCTCCCATTTCTTCTCCTTCTAAATCCTTATAAGTAACCATCTTTGAATTCGTCCTGTTTTGTTTTCTCCTTGCAAATTTGTACGTTTAATCTGTTTAAGGTACGAAAAGACTGGTGCAATTAGTCCTTTAAACCACTAGATGTTGTCTTTTTGTTATATTTCTAATTTTTTGGCTGTTGAAAAACACAGTCTGTGTATTCCATAGAGAGTGAAATTTCTTTGTTTAGATTGTGCATCTTTTCAAGGTCAGTTTCCAGGAAGACTCAATTCTTCTAATTAAACTGACAGATTTTAGATCATGGTTAAGTAAGGTTCTTCTTAAATTCTTCTTGAATTATTTAACCACCCCACTTTATATTTCCATTTGAAATTTATTTTATCGAATTCCTCTGTGATTGGTTACTTGCATTTAGTGGTATTTCTTTTTCTTGTTCTTTCTCTGTCTCTCCCCACATTTACGACATAAATCTTCTTGCCTTTCTTTGTCTTCTTTAGCTTCTAAGGATCCTCAAGGATGTAGGGATAGTTAACTGGAACAGGTTGGTGATATATAGCTGAATTTACAGCTGTAATCCAATTCCTATGTGCTTCTTTCAGCCACACTGTTTTGATGAAGCTGTTGTCACGGAACCCCCTGTGGGGAATTCTTCTTTCTGATAGCCCTTCTTTGATAGCTACTGTGCAAGAAGTTAGCACATTACCTGCCCTTTAATTTTATTTAGCCTAGGTACCCTTCCTGACCCACTGGAAGGCACTTGGAAGGCACTAATTTGTTAGTTGGCAGCTACCAGAACTGCCAATTATCTCACAGCCAAATTCTAGACTTCCATGACCCCTTTCTTTTGTTTCAGATGGAAACCAATGATGTTGCAAGGTGTAGCCTTCGAGAGATCACATGGGATCATGAGTCTATGGATAGGAAATGAAGGATTATGATGCCCAAGTCGTAATTTTGTCTCTTCTCCAGACATAGAAGGATAAAATAAGTGAATTATTGGCTTCGCAGATGATGACATGAGGAACATTTTTTTTACTTCCTGCACCATGGTCTGAGGTTTAATAATATTTGGCCTCTGGTAAGGGATGGCTTGTATCTCAGAGAGTAGGAGAGGTTCCAGGACACATAAGGAAATAAAATGTTCCCATCTTTTTTTTTTTTAAAAAAAGAGATGGGGTCCAAACAATTGTTGCCCAATCAGTTTAACATTAATACTAGATACATTCGGGAGCACTTAGAAAAGAATGCTATGCTCACAAAAAGCCATCATGGCATATAAAGCATATTTCTTTTTTTGATAGAGTACATGAAGGGAATGCTGTGGATGTGGCATGTCTTGATTTCAGTAAGACCTTTAACAAGCCCCTCTCCTTGATATATTCACAAAGAAGCTAATATAATGTGGGCAAGATAATGCTATGGGTGGTGGATTGGGAACTTCTTAACTGGAATGGCTCTTCTTCATCCTGTAGAGAGTTGACAAGTGTGGTGATTTTGATTGATTGATTGATTTATGCCATTTATATCCCGCCCATATTAGCCCGAAGGTGACTCAGAGCGGCGTACAAGTCAGCAACAATTAGATGCCATATATAAAAATACATACACCGTAAAAAGCAAAAATAAAAATAAAAATCACAATATATTTAAAAACCATAAAACAATGAATAATAAAAATTATAAAAACAATGTCTTCTTGTGCAAATCTTCAACCGTTCCATCGCCTTAGCCATTCCTAGTTCATTTCCGATTTGAGTTTTTGGTCATGCTATGGTTGCAAACACTTGCTCAAAGAGCCAGGTTTTCACTCTTTTTTGAAAGGTCAGGAGGGTGGGGGCTGATCTAATATCCCTATGCTGATCTAATATCCCTAATTAATCAAAACCTTTATCAATTATTTGGATGATGGAATTGAGGGCATGCTTATCAAATCTGTAAATGACATCAAATTAGAAAAGATAGCTAATGTCTGAGAGGACATGCTCAGAATGCAAAATGACCTTAACAGACGAGAGTTGGGCCAAAACTCGTAAGAAAATGAATTTCAACAGGGAGAAATGTATGGTACTGCACTTAGACCGAAGAAAAATGAAATACACAGATATAGGATGGCTTAAAAATAGTACACATGAAAAGGATTTAGTAGACTACAAGTTGTGATGTGGCAGCTAAAACAGCCAGTGCAATTCTAGGCTTTATCAATAAGAGCATAGCATCAGACCTCAACAGGAATAGAGTGTTCAGTTCTAGGCAATTCAAGAAGGACATGAAAAGCTAGAACGTATCCAGAGAAAAGTAACCAAACAAGTTTTGGAAACCAAGCCCTGTGAGGAACAACTAAGGGGTCTTTGAGAGGTTTAACTTGAAAAAATGAATGCTGAGAGCAGCCATGATAGCCATATTAAAATATTTAATCAAATATTTGAACATAGCTATCAGATATCCACATCAAATATTTTAACATGTTAGACATATTTAAATATTTGGTCTGAACACAACCAGAATGTCCTTCTTGCTATTTGCTTTTGCCTGGTAAAGTGCAGGATGGAGCTGCATTATTTTTCTATCTCTGTCAGTTATGAAACTGTAAATATCAAAGTCTTAAGATCTACAGATTAAGATGAAATAGCAAGTGTGTGTGTGTGTGTACCTGTTTGAGTGGGATTAGGTTCTAATGAACTTGTGTTTCATTCAGTTCAAATTTGTATCACAGCACTGATTATTCAGACAAATTGGTACACATTTGCTAGGGGGAATAACAGTTAAACAGTTCAGCTAAGCTGTTGAGTTTAGGTTTTTGAATGTACATATAATGTTACTGTTCTGTGAGAGAAACAGAGTTGTAATGGTTGTTGCTGCATTCAGCCACAGGGTGGCAATACAGGCAAATACATAACTGAAGGCAGACTTTTTCATATGCAAAACAATTCAAGGAGAGTTGGGGGTAGAATTGATCTTGAGGGAGATAGCTAACCTTTGTATGAAAAGATGATGCTCCGTGCACCACTCTAATTAGCAGGAAAAAATTAATTTCTATATCAATCAAAGTCTTTATATTTGCATCACAATTTGAAAAAGAAAGAAGAGAGAGAGGTGTGAGCCATGGAAAACTGCTTCAGGAGCAAGGAAGGTCTGTGTTTTTTACTATTCCTTTATGTTACCGATGTACTGTGTGTCTCAATTCATTATTCTGTGCCCGAAGAGAAGAAAACTGGCTCTCTTGTGGCTAACGTCTTGAAGGATTTAAAACTGGGAGTTGGGGAGCTCTCTGCTCGCAGAGCCCAGCTGGTGTCCAAAAGCTCTAAGCAATATTTCCACCTTGATATCCATTCTGGGAATCTGCTCATAAGTGACAAAATAGACAGAGAGACTTTATGTGGACAGACTGAACCTTGTTTACTTGTCTCTCAAATTGTGCTCCAAAGTCCTCTGAAGATCTATAGTATTGAAATAAAGATAGAGGATGTTAATGACAATGCTCCGAAATTCTCAAAAAATGATTTCCAGTTTGAAATTCCTGAACATCTTCCCCCAAATACACGATTCCCCTTGGAATCTGCCCAAGATGAGGACCTAGGAGAAAACAGTATCCAAAACTACACACTCAGTCCCAATGAATATTTCCAACTGGGTGTGGAAAGCAACACTGATGGAAGCCAATATGTGACTCTCATCCTGGAGAAAGCACTGGACAGAGAGAAAGAGTCACATTTGGGGCTGACACTTACAGCTGTTGATGGAGGAGTACCCCAAAGGACAGGCACAATTCAAATAAATGTCAATGTTCTGGACAATAATGATAACTTTCCAGAATTTACTCAATCTGAGTACAAGGCAATATTGAAGGAAAACTGTCCGAGGGATACTTTGGTGTCTAAAGTAGAAGCCAGAGATTTGGATTTTGGATCAAATGCTCAGATCACCTACTCTTTCCATCGAATGCCTGAAAAAATACATAATCTGTTTCATTTGAATGAAGTGACTGGAGAAATCACTGTTTTGGGAGAAATAGATTATGAAAAAGAAACCAATTATGAAATGACTATTAAAGCTACAGATACAGGTGGTCTTTTTGGGCACTGCAAGGTACTGGTGGAGATTGAAGATATGAATGATAATGCCCCAGAAGTTTCAGTTATATCAATCAACAGCCCTTTGCCTGAGGATTCTCCACTTGAGACACTTGTTGTGCTGTTTAGTGTTGAAGATCAAGACTCAGGGGACAATGGTCAAACTCTTTGCACTGTTGACATGAATCTGCCTTTTGTATTAAAAGTTACTACAAATAGCTTTTATCAACTTCTGATCCAAAGTTCCCTGGACAGAGAGAAAATTTCAGAGTACAATGTAACTATCACAGCAATAGATCGTGGATCTCCTAGGCTCACCTCAACAAGAATTATCCATGTGCAGATCTCAGATGTCAATGACAACCCTCCAGTATTTGACAAGTCTTTGTTTGAAATGCTGGTAGTAGAAAATAATATTCCAGGACTACTAATTGGCTCAATTAAGGCTGTTGATCTGGATACTGAGCAGAATGCCAAACTGACCTACTCCCTTTTACCTGGGAACATTGGTGGTGATCCCATGGTCTCTTACATCTCCATCAACTCTGAAACAGGAAACATGTATGTCCTTCAATCTCTAGACTATGAAAAAATTAAAGATTTCAAAGTCATAGTAAAGGTGACCGACAGCGGATCTCCTCCTCTGAGCTCAGATGTTGTTGTTCATGTCATAATCACTGATGAAAACGACAATGCTCCCTTCTTCCTGTATCCTCTTCAGAACAGCACATTCTCCTGCAATGAACTTCTTCCCAAGATGGCAGAGGCCGGTTACCTGATCACCAAAGTGGTGGCTGTGGATGGAGATTCTGGTCAGAACTCTTGGCTCTCCTATGAACTCCTGAAGGCCACAGACCCTGGCCTTTTCAGCATAGGAACTCAGAATGGAGAAGTGAAAACCAGAAGACCACTGACTGAGAGAGACACCAACAAACAGAGGCTTGTTGTTGCAGTGAGAGACAATGGTGTCCCTCCTCAGACTAGTACTGCAATGCTCAATATTCTTCTGGTGGATGGCTTTTCCGATCCTTACTTGAAGGTGGTGGATGTCCGTCAACAGGACCCTGAAGATGAGGGAACCTTGACCATGTATTTGGTGATCTGCCTCGCATCTGTCTCTTTTGTGTTTCTACTTTGCATTGTTTCCTTTGTTGGGATCAAGATGTGCAAGAAAGACCATGGAAGCAGTTTTATTGTTGCTCCTCCTCACTTTCCACCTGCTATTCCAGAGAACTGTACAGATTCTCAGAGTGGATCACTTTCCAGGAATTATCAGTATGATTTGTGTTTAACCAATGGATCCTTAAGCAGTGAGTTCAGATTTCTCCGACCTCTCATTCCTGTTTTTTCTGTGGCGGATCCAAATTTAGCTGCGAACCACAATAGCTCTTCTGTTTCCCAAGACCTTCCTGAGTGTTCGGATGACACTAAACCAGGAGAACAGGTGAGAGATTAGTGTCATGGGATTGCATTCTCCTTGGTCATTGCTCATAATCAATATTATTGTTTCTTATTTATCCTGTCAATGAAATATACTGTGGCTAGAGATATAGTTTTGTCATATTCTATCTGTTCATGTCAAATAGTTGTAATAAGTTGAGAATCAGTTTCTCTGCTGAATCTCTCTCAGCGTTTCTTGTTCTTCCTCAGTGCAACTTGTACTCCCTCATTGGCCTTCCCAACCTTCGTTGCTAGTCCATCATTTTGTCAGTGTTCTCTTTTTTTTTTACTTTTGCCTCCATCCTTTATGTATTTTTCAAACCTTTATGTGCATTTTCTTTAGTTCTTATGATATTTAAACTCTTTCGCCCTTGGTATATTGATCTGGAACTCCTTTCCAAGCAGTGTTTCATTTAGTGAATCAAAATTTACTAGAGCCTGTTTGATAACTAACACATTGTGTATAGATAACAGTTTTTTATGATAAAAAAATCTCCCACATGCAAATATCTATATTATCTGATTGAACCAGTTTCCAGGTATATTCACACATCATTAGATATTGTGATAATTAGGCCATTTTGAATAATATTTAAGTATTACTTAGATTTAGGTAATATTTATTTGTTTTTACATGAATGTAACACTTTATTAATGGGATATCAATGTTCAAAGTAAAAACTGTTTCTTTATTTTTTCTGATAATAATTTTAAGTACATTATTTTTAAGCCAATATACTATTTTAGGTCCAATATTTTCATTCTCTGGTATGTTTGTTGTCATATTTTCACAGCATTCGTAAACCTTATATATGGGTCATGTGCCTGAAAGAACACCAGGTTTACATCCTTATGGATTCTCCATATTCACAATCCCCACACTTCTCTAAGCCAACATGTATAAAAATCCTGCTATTGAGACATTTTGTAAAGATAATAGCAAATATGTGTGGAAAGGGTGTTAGCTTTCCTTGCTCAATTCATAATTCTATTTCCCTCTATTTGTGATGATAGCTGAGGTTGAAGTGAAGAACTGCCACTTCCATAGAGGGTGGTCACATGAGTTGGAAATATGGTTTGAATTCCCTTTTCCAATTTTTAATGTATTTTTATTAAATTTTAACCATGAATACAATATTACTTCAATAAATCCTAACTTAAAATCTTGCTTTTGTCTCATAGGTCCTCCTTCCCTTATGTTTACAAACAACTTTCCTGCCAATCTTTTTAAAAAATCAATATTTGGCCTCCCAACCAATGAGGGGAGAAGTTTTAGGGAGGGGAGGGGTTTCAGCATGGCATCCATTGCACTATATAAAGGGCAGCACATGGCTCAGAGGCTCTTTGTGAGCCCGGGAAGGGAAGGGAGAAGGGAAAAGGAAAGAGAAAGGGAAAGGAGGTTGTGAAGGGAGGTTGGAAGAAGAGCGGTTGGAAGAAGAGCAGGGCAACCGGAGAAGGGCTGTTGCCTGCCTAGGTGCCTGCCTTGCAGTCGCTTGTGTGCTGCTGCTGTTGGTGTGGAAGAAGAGCAGAGCAGCAAAGAACCTGGCAGGGAGAAGGGCTGTTGCCTGCCTGGCTGCCTGCCTTGCAGCCGCTTGTGTGTTGTTGCTATTTGGATTTGGGACGGCTGGGCAATGCGTGGGTAATATTGGAGTATGTTGGTGCATGCTGTGGTGTGGCATGGGTGGAAGGAACAGCATAGAGGAAACAAGGCATTCCAACATTTGAAAAAGCCCCAGCATTGTAGAGTGGGTATTGGGTGTGTGGGTGGAAGAAGCAGCACAGAGGAACCAAAGCCCTCCAAGGTTTGTAAAAGCCTCAGTTGTAGCAGCTCTCTCTGGCCTCTGTGTTGTACTTTTTCTCAGTAGAACTAGATCTCCCATAAATTCGAGCCACTCTTTGAACACAAACTCTCCTTCCTAAAGTTGTGAAATCACCTTCCAAGGCCCCAAAAGGACTCTCTCTGCTATGTTTGTTTCTTTGTTTGCTGTCTGTTGCTTACCAGAAAAAACACTACAAATCCCATATAGTCAAGAATATCCTTCCTAAAGGTGTGAAATCACCTTTAAAAACCACAAAAGACCTCTCTCTGCTTTGTTGGTTTACCTTGTTTGCTTTGTGTTGCCAGAAAAGACACTAGAAATCCCATACATTCAATCTCTCCTTACCTAACTTGTGAAATTAGCTCAGAAGGCCTCAAAAGCTCTCAGGGCTGGGCTGGCTGTTTGTTATTTCATTTGTTTGCTGTGCGTTGCCTAAAAAGACACTACAAATCCCATACTTTCAAGTTTCCCCTTACCTAACTGGTGGAATCAGCTCACAAGGCCCCAAAAGCTCTCAGGGATGGCTGTTTGTTATTTCATTTCTCGCACAATCGCGTCCGCCATTAACGAAGCGATTCGGAAATTTTGGAAAGTTTGGAAAGTTCCAAAATTGGGGGGGGGGGGGGGAATCAGAATTTAATTCCGAATTGAACCACTACATCTGAAACAAGTTTTGAACCCTTTTTTTGATCAACCAAGCCTAATACATAGATAGAGGTAAATATAGGCTTTACCATCCTCGGCATCTTTGGGGTTTCGCTTGGTTCTGGCTATGGGGGGTGGGGTTGCTGTCGGTCCACGTTCCCTGCTTTGTTCATAAGCTTCCTCCTTGATCAAATTGGCAGCATTTTTCTGGCATTTCCTTATGGGTGCCTTAAATACCTCCCCGGTTTAAAGCGGTACCTATTTATCTACTCACATTTGTTTTCAAACTGCTAGGTAGGCAGAAGCTGGGCTAAAGGTCAGGAGTTCACCCTGACACAGGCTTCAAACTGTCAACCTTTCAATTGGCAAGATTTACTGCAGCTGGCAGTAAATCTACTGTGCTAAAATCCATATTCCGAAACAACCCAGATTTTTTAAGAACCTCAAAATGTCTTAAATCTCATCACTTTTCTGAACTGTGTTGGTGTGGGCATGCCTATTTGTGTGTATGTGTATATTCTCGCAGATAATTGTATGAAGATTTTCACATACTGGCCTTCACTCACAGAAGATTTTGAAAATGAAACTTGCATTCAATAATGATAGTTGTACGTTAGGAGTTTTTCCTGGGAGGTTCAGTCATCACTCCAAGCTTTTCTTTTCCTATAAACTTTACAGATTGTTGAACTATTTCTAAAATCACCTTTATATTTATAGTTTATACTATTTTAAGAGGCATTAGTTTGTGGAATTTATAGGATACTCAAAAATTATGCCATCTCCCTGGGGCAAAAATCCAAGATATAACACAGAGGATGACAATACACAACAATACACAACAAGCCTTCATGTGGGAACCAATGTCACTGCAAGGTGTAACCTTCAGGAGATCATGTGGCAACACAAGGCTATGCATAAGAAGAACTTTGGTTATCATTGTGGAATTCCACTACAGACATCCAAGCAAGACTCAGGACTTGAATGACGCCTTCCTAGAGCAGACTAAGCAGTAGGGAAATGCAGCACTAAATAAGTAAAGGAGCAATATAGTAATATCTTGATAATCTGAATGAATTCAAATCCTCAAGGCCAGAAGAACTACATTCAAGGTTGTAAAAAGAACTGTCAGAAGTAATTTCATAACCAATGGCAATCATCTTTGGGAATTCCTGGAAAATAGGAGAAGTTCCAGAAGACTGAATGAAGTCAAATGCCAGTCTGACATTAATACTAGGATAGATTCTGGAGCAGATCATTGAACAGACAGTGTTTAAGCACTTAGGAAGGAATGCCTAGCTCACAAAAAGTTAACATGAGTTCTTCAAAAACAAGTCATACCAGATAAAACATATCTCTTTTTTTGATAGAGTTATAAGCTTGGTAGATGAAAGGAATGTTGTGGATGTGATATATCTTGATTTCAGTAAGGCCTTTGAGAAGCCCCGTGATATACATTAGATCCGCCCCCTCCCTCCTTTCCTTCAGAATGATGGTAAAAACGTGGCCGTGGGACTAAGCTTTTGGGACAGTGCAATAAGGCAACAATAGGAAACCTAACCCCGCTGACCTGATTTGGTATGGCTGATTCGAGATGATTTTAAACAATTGATTTTAAAGCGGAGATCAAATGATTTTAGTGTTTGTATATATTTATAGTTTATTTTATGTTCTGGCATTGAATGTTTGCCGTATATATGTTGTGATTCACATTGAGTCAACCTCTGGGTGAGAAGGGTGGGATACAAATGTTTTAAATAAATAAATATATTCAAATAAGCTAATATAATATGTGCAAGATAATGCTATGTGTGGTGGATTGATAATTACTCAACTCAAATAGCTCTTCATCATCCTGGAGAGAGTTGACAAATGGAGTTCCACAGGATTATTCGACATCTTTATCAATAATTTGGATGATGGAATAGAGGACATGCAAATGACATCAAATTAGAAAAAAATAGTGAATGCCCCAGAGGACAGGCTCAGAATCCAAAATGACCTTAACAGGTGATAGAACTGGGCCAAAAACTCATAATAAAATGAACTTCAACAGGGAGAAATGAATGGTACTGCACTTCGGCAGAATCAAAATGAGATGCACAGATGGGTGACACCTGGCTAAAAACAGTACATGTGAAAAAAACATTTAGTAGACCGCAAGTTTATAAAAACACAGAGTTGGAAGACATTGCATGGACCATATAGTCCAACCCCCTGCCATGCAAGAAAAGCACATTGAAAATATCCCTGACAGATGACCATTCAGCCTCTGTTTAAAAGCCTCCAAAGAAGAAGCCTCCACTACACCCTGAGGCAGAGAGTTCCACTGTAGAACAGCTATTACAGTCAGGAAGTCCTTCCTAATGTTCAGGTGGAATCTCCTTACCTGTAATTTGAACCAATTGCTCTGAATCGAACAACCTTATCAGAAAGCCCAGGCAAATCGTCCCACTTTGCCTGGCTTCTGTGAGGAAAGAGGGAGCAGCAGTGTGAATCTGGCACCCCACTTGTAACTTCCTCTCAGCAGTGTTTGCCCCATCATGTGGGGGAAGCATTGCCCTCATGGAGAGACCCAGAGCTTGCTCCATTGGAGCCAGCACAACATGGGAAGCCTGCTGTGTTGGGGAGAAAGCATCCAACAACACTTTCACCCCAGTTGGGCAGGGCCTCCGCCAGATGTCACACAATGCTGTGTGATGACTGGTGACAGGCTATGTCATTTAGACAGGGTGAAAGCATCCAAGAATACTAAATTCACCCTGCCTGATGAGGTTGCTAGTCTCCAGGGCAGCAGAAAACAAGCTTGCT